TATACTGTTGCTACTGCAAAGGCTACTAAGTTCCCATCCAGATTTTATTCACCCCCCCCCCCCCCGCTTCTGTGTCTCTTTATGGGGATATAGCTGTACCTGCTTCCCAGTGGTCCCTATTACCCTGCCATTTGTTCCATTTCTTCTTGTATTATCACAAGCCAACTAGTATTTTACTTTCTTTAACGTCTGTTCATTTGTAGATAAAGTGCTTGTTAGCATCTAGAGCCTTCCCTTCATTTGTCATATGTATTCTTTGACGTCTGCGTTAAGCATGATTTGGGGCTTCTGTGACCAAAGTCTATATGAAGAATTAGGAATTTTTATTACCATGATCGCTACTTTAAAGGTCTCTTGAGTGGGTGGCTGAGGTCTCGCCAAAGAAAAACTTTCTATTCATCTTGATTCGAGTCAGATAGCCCCCTTTATCTTGATGCCTTATAATCCCATCAAGACTTCTAAAAAAACAGACTTTTCTAGGCAAAAAAGAAAGCTGTCCATTGAGACTGCCTCTCTTTGTTAAACTCCATGTTTCAATCTGCGTAAATGTTGCTGCATTATTGATGGAGCTCTGTTTCAGCATATGACCTCCTTCATTTTATCTTCATCTAACTGTGCATTAATTTCCCCCAAGTCGAGTTCTTTTTCTAGTCCTTAAAGCCACGAACAGTCTCTGGTTGTCCTTAGAAGTTTTATTTCTGGGGGCTAGATTCTCAGCTGGTGTCAGTTGGTGTAGCACCCTTAACTTCACCTGTAAGTGATCTTGTTTAAGTACATTATTTTTGGAATTATGTCTGCTCTCATGATTTATGTAAATCCATGTCTCTGTACTCTGTTCACTAGGTCTTCTGTGTAGGCTTGCAGAACATTGATAGCAGGTTGAGGAATCTGTAATTCCACTGTCTGAAGCGATACTGAATCACTTTCATTTCTTATTCGTTAAAGTATATTTGTAACTTCAGAGTAATTGATTCCTCATTTGTGTCATCAACTGGAAACATACAGCTGCATTTGATGGAAATAACCTATCATATAATAATATATCACATAGCAAGAATGGGCTGACAAAGCAAAATTAGCAATAGTCAGCACTGGTGAAGAGCCAAGTCAGAAAACTTTAGTTCATCCTCTCATTTAACAAAGTATCTGCTTCTAATCCAGTGAGTCATTGTCACATTCTGGGGTGCAGCCCAGACCAGCAAGAGGGTTGTGTCACTGCCTTCCCTGTAACCGTGGGTGCCTCACAATGCATCTCTGTTGTAGCTCCCAACCTGGACTGCTCACAGCCAGCCTACCAGCATGCAGGATGCACCCTGAGTATGTGTGTGCTAGGCAATCCTGGTTCAGCAGCTCTGATCCCACCAGCCTGATCCCACAGCTGCACTCTGGCTTCCACCAGCCTCGGTTACTTCTTGCAGGGTGACCCCAACATGCTCCCAGTCCCGGATTTCCCCCCAAAATGCGTGTTCTGCACTGTCCAGCTCTTTCCTGGAAAGTTCAGATATTAAGGTTCATTGCTCCTGTAAAGAGTTGATATTCAACAGTTTACTTCAACTGGACTTACCAAACAGTTCAGTTTAAATAAAGTACTGGATCAGTTTAGATTAAAAATAAAACAAGTTTATTAAGTATTAACAAAGAAGATAGGATTTTAAGTGAATGCAAGTATAAGAGAGAAAGTTAGAAATGGTTACCTGTAAATATCAGTGAAAAAACGCATCTAAAAGTCAAACTTATTCTAATAAGTTTTGGCTCAATGCTTTGTTCGAGATGACCTTTCTTATCCACAGTCTTCCAGCAAGATGGAGGCTGACAGTTTCCTTGGTCAGGATCTCTCCCAGAAGCCCAAAGGTGTTGGTGCCTTAGTCTTTTTAGAAGAAAGAGACAGAACTTGGGGTTCTCTGCCCCTTTCTTTGGTGGATTCTTCTGAGAGTTACCCTTCAAAGCAGGGTGGGCAAACTTTTTGGCCTGAGGGCCACATCTGGGTATGGAAATTTTATGGCGGACCATGAATGCTCACGAAATTGGGATTGGGGTGCAGGCTCTGGGATGGGGCCAGAAATGAGGAATTGAGGGTTTGGGAGGGGGCTCCAGGCTGGGGGCAGGAGGTTGGTGTGTGTGTGGGGGTGGGTGAGGGCTGCAGCTGGAAGTGTAGGCTCTGGGGTGGGGCTGAGGGATTTATAATTATAATAATTAATGGAGATATCCCATCTCCTAGAGCTGGAAGGGACCTCGAAAGGTCATCAAGTCCAGGCCCCTGCCCTCACCAGCAGGACCAATCACTGACCCTGCCCCAGATCCCCAAGTGGCCCCCTCAAGGATTGAATTCATAACCCTGGGTTCAGCAGGCCAATGCTCAAACCACTGAGCTATCCCTCCTGGCCTTTTTTTAAAACTATGAACAGAGCCCTCTCCCCTGCATTCATAGAATATCAGGGTTGGAAGAGACCTCAGGAGGTCATCTAGTCCAACCCCCTGCTCAAAGCAGGACCAATCCCCAGACAGATTTTTGCCCCAGATCCCTAAATGCCCCCCTCAAGGATTGAACTCACAACCCTAAGTTTAGCAGGCCAATGCTCAAACCACTAAGCTATATTTGGGGTATAGGAAGGTACTTCAGGCTGGGCCCAAGCAGTTCGGAGGGTGGGAGGGGGATCAGGGCTGGGACAGGGGGTTGGAGCACGGGGGGGGAGGGGATGAGGGCTCTGGCTTGGGGTGCGGGCTCTGGGGTGGGGTCAGGGATCAGGGCTTTGGGGTGCAGGAGGGTGCTTCGGGCTGGGCTCAAGGGGTTTGGAGGGCAGGAGGGGGATCAGGCCTGGGCAGAGAGTTGGGGCACGGGAGGGGTTCAGGGAAGCAGCGGTATGTCCCCCTTCCAGCTCCTACGTGGAGACATGGCCAGGTAGCTCTGCACGCTGCCCCACTGGCTGCAGTTCCCGGCCAGTGGGAGCTGCGGGGGCGGCACTTGGGGCGGGGGAAGTGCGCGGAGCCCCCTGGCTGCCCCTAAACATAGGAGCCAGAGTGGGGACATGCTGCTGCTTCCGGGAGCCGCAGCACATGTGTGTGGAGCGGACCCTGACCCCGCTCCCCGGCTGGAGTATGGGAGCAGGGCAAGCCCCATACCCTGCTCCCCAGCAGGAGCTCAAGGGCCAGATTAAATCGGCTGCTGGGTTGGATGTGGCCCGCGGGCCACAGTTTGCCCACCCCTGCTTCAAAGTAAAGTTTATTCAAGCAGTAAAGAAGGCAACATGGAGTCTGGTGATGAAGGAGGCTCCATGCTCTTTTTTTCTCCCTTTGTCTTTGATGAAATCCAACTCATTCTGTTTCTAGTCATCTCTTCCCCCTGCTATCTCGAGGACCCTATTTACTACTTATATGTACATTGAGGGGTAAACGTACATGCCTTTATTTAGGATATGCCAGTTTAACAACTTTTGCCTAGACAGGGCTGTCTGGTTGTGAACATGTGTTAATATCACATAGAGTGAATTTGTAACGTCACATGTAATACTGTCATACATTTCACCCTATTATTGACCAGCAAGTTATTTATTATTTTCAAATGAAATCTCACAAGGCATATTTCATACAAAGATTACAACAGTGTGTAGAGTGTGAACACAGGGATGCTTTTGGTCACAGTTACCCACAAAAATATCAAAAAAACCCACCACAATTAATAGTCCAAATGACTGCCTAGCCTAGTCACCATTGTCTCAATCTTCAGCATTGCTATTCCAGAGCAACACTGTCATGGGCGTGACTCTCTTCTGTTACCTCAATTTATGTCAATATAACTCCATTGAAATCAGGGGAGTTATATTGGTGTAAAACAGATGTAACCATGGAGAATCAGGCCCACGGCCAGGACATTAAAGAATAGCATATAGTGCAAGTGGCTTTTCTTCTAAGTGTGAGCTCAGCCCTTTCCTTCCAGATCTCTCTCCTATGTACCAGAAGGAGAGAAAGTGGAATGTGGCACATCTTATAGATGAATCATTAGTGAATATATTATTCCTCTTTTGTCCACTATCTTACTCCCCTCCAAATCCCAGATTATCCCCCAAAGCATCCAAGGCTTGCACTGCTGAGTCAATAGAAGCTTTGCCATTGGCTTCAATGGGCACAGGATCTGGTGGTCAGCTAGCAACAACCTAAATAACCATCTAAACCCTTATAAGAATTCCAATAGCTCTCAACAGCATACAAACCTTCCATATATAAACACCATCCTTAAATATTTTCAGTGCTGTGTTAGAAATGTTTTCATAATTTGTTTTCAGCTGACTCTGTGAATACCCTGTGCTAGCAACAAAAGAAAAACAAAAATTTCTTTTCTGATGTTGTAAGTCCTTCAAGTAATATTAAGCTCTTTAACAGTTCCATATATATGGGGCTTCTAAAGCAATAAAATGCCTCTAATTGTTCACAGCTCTTCCTTCTCACCAATTTAGTTGCTAATTTAGTAAAATGCAAATGCCTGACTGTCAGATGTTGGAGACAATGGACAACTTGGAGAAGACAACTAAAGATTTACTCCTTCTATTCAGTGCTTCTTGATCTATGATACGTCAGACAACTTATCAATGAGATTGGTTAGCTAAAGCCATCTCCATGTGTGCGTGTGGGGAAAAAAATCCTCTTGTTTCCTGAAACACAAGCAATTATCAGGTACTATAGTAATGAGAGGATAGTATGGGCCAGATCATTAGCTGTGTATGTTAGCATAGCCTCACTGAAGTCAACAGAACTATATTGATATGCATTGGCCAAGATCTGGCCCTATATTTTTTTCAGGTTAGGAATAGGCTAGGAATACATGGTACTAATATAAGGGAGAATTCCTTCTCTAACACCACAGAAGACTCTGGTAAAGACCCCAGAGACAGAACTCGATTATGTTAGATTTTTACAGTTCAATATCTGACCAACTTTAGAGATGACACATGGCTGTAATTACCTGGGCAACAGTGTGATGAAGTAGTAAGGCTAATACTGGCATCCTATTTCTTCCAAGCAGGCAAAGTCACATGGTTGATGAGGTCAGAGAAAGACCTGCAAACATGCTCAGCTGTGGAGACCAACTCCTGCTTTATAGCAGACTGCTGAGCTGGAAAGAAAAGAGATTATTTCACAGCACCTGAATGCAGTAAAATCCCTGTACGACTCTTTAAAAGACTCCAATTCAAGGTAACTCTATAGAAACAAAAGTTTTATCCGCTGGCTTTCCTTATTACATTCTTATCAATGAAAGTGAGGCATCCTGAAAGCTGAACAAAGCTATGCTGTAATAAGACCATTGATTATAAGAGGATTTTATGTGATTGGGAGGCTGGCTGTGGGGTCAAACGATTACACAGCCATAGAAATTGGAGACAGAAAAGACCACCAATGCAAGTTTGTTCCATATTGACTGCTGAGAGCAACTTCCTCTACAGTACTATGTCTTCTCCAGTTTTAAATGACTCAAGCAGTGAGGGTTTAAATGCTGGGCTCACATGAGTGCAAATCTGGAGTAATTCTAGAGTGATTACACGCTGAGAGAGGAAGGCTAGTGTTGTGGTGACAGCACTGCAGTGGAAATTAGAAGATCTGGGTTCAATGCTTGACTCTGCCACATGTTTAATATGCTATTTATAAACTATGAACGGAGTTGTCAGATTATATCTCTACTCATGTTGAGTTGGTCTTTGCTCTGTGACTTATATGGATTACTTACAGTAAGAGACTGCTCTTTGGGTCCATTCCTAAGCACCTTGTATATAACAGCAGCATTGGTAGCACTGACTATTATTAAGGTTGCCCAAGAGTTCCCATTATAAGACCCTGTTTTCAGTTGCTTATAACTTTGCTAAACTTTAACCCTTTGGGCTGACATTTTCTGCGCTGCACATCTTCCCCAGGCTGAACTTGCTCCTCCTCCATAAGGCTACAAGGGCAAAGTCAAACTTTCCCTGTAGTGACTGCTCTGGTCCAGGGTGGAGCTGGCACTAGAACTTGACAGCAATGAGCTTGTCTCTCCTGTGCGCTCAGTGATCCCCTACTGGCAGTCAGCTAGCACAGAGGAGAAAGCTGTCTCATTTGAATACAGTGGTAACAAAAACTGGACTGTGGAGGAGGGAAGAGTAGATTGGGACAAGGTGTCTAGTGAAACTGGAAGTGGAGCAGGGGAAAAAGAAACTGTGCCTGGAACCTGGGGTGAGGGGCAGAATTGGGACTGGCTAGGCAAAGAGGTGGGACTGGAAGTCAGGGAGGAAAATGGAGGCTAGAACTGGTTGCTGGGGGGTAGGAGGCAAGAGTCCTGTGGAAAAAATAGTATATGATCATGTATTTAAAGACTGACTCATAATGCAAATGCATAAAAGGGCTGAATTAAGGGTTCAGAAGCAACCTTAATTCTGGCAAAAAGAACAGGAGTACTTGTGGCACCTTAGAGACTAACAAATTTATTAGAGCATAAGCTTTTGTGGGCTACAGCCCACTTCTTCGGATGCATATAGAGTGGAACATATATTGAGGAGATATATATACACTACAATACCCACCTGCTGAAGTGAAAAAACAGATTGACAGAGCCAGACGAGTACCCAGAAGTCACCTCCTACAAGACAGGCCCAACAAAGAAAATAACAGAACACCACTAGCTGTCACCTTCAGCCCCCAACTAAAACCTCTCCAGCGCATCATCAGAGATCTACAACCTATCCTGAAAGATGATCCTTTACTCTCACAGATCTTGGGAGACAGACCTGTCCTCGCTTACAGACAACCCCCCAACCTAAAGCAAATACTCACCAGCAACCACACATCACTGAACAAAAACACTGACCCAGGAACCTATCCTTGTAACAAAGCCCGATGCCAACTCTATCCACATATCTATTCAAGTGACATCATCATAGGACCTAATCACATCAGCCATACCATCAGGGGCTCGTTCACCTGCACATCTACCAATGTGATATATGCCATCATGTGCCAGCAATGCCCCTCCGCCATGTACATTGGCCAAACCGGACAGTCTCTACGCAAAAGAATTAATGGACACAAATCTGACATCAGGAATCATAATACTCAAAAACCAGTGGGAGAACACTTTAACCTGTCTGGCCATTCAATGACAGACCTGCGGGTGGCTATCTTACAACAGAAAAACTTCAAAAACAGACTCCAACGAGAGACTGCTGAGCTGGAATTGATATGCAAACTAGATACAATCAACTCAGGATTGAATAAGGACTGGGAATGGCTGAGCCATTACAAACATAGAATACTTACAAGGGGAGATAGATTCACACACTTCTTATCAAACTGTCTGTACTGAGCTATCTTGATTATCACTTCAAAAGCTTTTTTCTCTTACTTAATTGGCCTCTCAGAGTTGGTAAGACAACTCCCACCTGTTCATGCTCTCTGTATGTGTGTGTATATATATCTCCTCGTCCTCAATATATGTTCCACTCTATATACATCCGAAGAAGTGGGCTGTAGCCCACGAAAGCTTATGCTCTAATAAATTTGTTAGTCTCTAAGGTGCCACAAGTACTCCTGTTCTTTTTGCGGATACAGACTAACATGGCTGCTACTCTGAAACCTTAATTCTGGCATTTTCCAACTTTTGCAATCTCAGTAATGTTATTTTCACATGTTTTTTTGTGTGTAATATATATTTATAGGGCCAGATGTAATGGACACAGAATGCCTTGGGCCTTGCATGATAAGGCTTAATAGAATGTTATTAATTTCAGATTTTAAGCAGTTTTAAATTATTATTTAATTCTTCCCAGCTCATTTTTACAGCATTATTTTATCTGACCTATGAATCTAGCCACTTCCTGTCAGTGAGAGACAAAAACCGGTTACCTACCTTTCATAACTGTTGTTCTTCAAGATGTGTTGCTCATGTCCATTCCAAGTAGGTGTATGCATGCGCATGCATGATTGTTGGAAGGTTTTTCCCCTAGTAGTACCCTTCAGGTTGGCTGTGGAGCCCCCTGGAATGGTGCCCTTATGGCGGTGAATATAGGTCCCTGCTGACCCGCCGCCTCTTCAATTCCTTCTTGCTGGATACTCTGACAGATGGGAGGTGGGTGGGTCTCGGAATGGACATGAACAACACATCTCGAAGAACAACAGTTACGAAAGGTAGGTAACCATTTTTTTTTCTTCTTCAAGTGATTGCTCATGTCAATTTCAAGTAGGTGACTCCCAAGCAGTCCCCTGGAGGAGGGGTCGGAGTTCACTGAGCTGCCGACTGTAGCACGGCTCTACCAAACGCGGCATTGTCTCTTGCCTGCTGAGTGATGGCGTAGTGTGACGTAAAGGTGTGAATAGACGACCACGTCGCCGCCCGGCAGATGTCATGAATGGGAACCTGTGCCAGGACTGCTGCAGATGAAGCCTGCACTCTTGTGGAGTGCGTTGTCAACACTGGGGCCGGAATCTTTGCTAGGTTACAGCATGTTCTGATGCAGGCCGTGATCCAAGAAGAGATTCTCTGAGACGAAATAGGGAGATCTTTCATTCTTTCTGCAATAGCGATGAAGAACTGCATCAACTTCCTAAATGGCTTTGTTCACTTGATGTAAAAAGCTAATGCCCGTCTGACATGCAGGGAATGGAGCATGCGTTCCCTGTCATTGGCATGTGGCTTAGGATAGAACACTGGCAGAAATGTGTGTGATTTGTGTGAAATGGCGAATCTACCTTCAGGGGGAAACCTGGGTGCGGTCACAATTGTACCTTGTCCTTATAAAACATGGTATAAGGGGGCTCCGACGTCAAAGCCTTGAACTCAGACCCCCTTCTGGCTGATGTTATAGCCACTAGGAACGCCATTTTCCAAGACAGGTGGAACAGTGAGCTCATTGCTAGGGGCTCAAAGGGAGGGCCCAGGAGCCTTGAGAGCACCAGGTTAAGCTCCCATGGAGGGATTGGTTGTTTTACTTGGGGGTACAGTTTGTCCGGCCCCTTGAGGAAATAGCCAACCACAGGGTTAGCAAACACTGAGCGTCCTGTTGAGCCAGGATGGAAAGCCGAAATTGCCACCAGGTGCACCTTTACTGATGAAACTGCCAGCCCCGGTTGCTTCAGGTGAAGCAAGTAGCCCAGGATAAAGGGAATCGAGGACTGCAACGGAGGAGTACCTTTCTGGAGGGACCAAATGGAAAATCTCTTCCACTTTGCCAGATAAGTGGCACGAGTGGAAGGCTTCCTGCTGCCAAGGAGAACCTCCCTAACCGAGTCTGAGAAGGTAAGTTCTAGAGGATTCAGCCATGGAGTTTCCATGCTATGAGATGGAGAGATTCTGGGTTAGGGTGCTGGAAGTGGCCATGGTCCTGTGTGATCAAGTCCAGAACCAAGGGCAAAGTAATGGGCATATTCACTGACAGGTCCAGCAACGTGGTGAACCAGTGCTGACATGGCCACGCTGGTGCTATTAAACTCAACAACGCTTTCTCTCACTGGACATTGAGGAGGACCTTGTGGATGAGTGGGAAGGGTGGGAATGCATACAGCAGGCACCCTTTTCAGGACAGGAAGAGGGCATCCGCGAGCAAGCCCGGGCTGTGGTTCAGGAAGGAGCAGAACTGTTGACACTTCCTGTTGCAGCGTGTCGCAAACAAGTCTATCTGGGGAGATCCCCACTTTTGGAAGATGTTGATGGCGACATCCGGGTGCAGGGACCAGTTGTGGCTGTGAAACGACCTGCTGAGGCGATCGGCCAGTTCATTCTGCGAACAGGGAAGGTACGAGGCCTCCAATTGTATCAAGTGGGCGATGCAGAAGTCCCACAGCTTGAGGGCTTCCTGGCACGGGGAGAGGAGCGAGCACCACCCTGTCTGTTTATATAAAACATTGCTGTGGTATTGTCTGTCAGTACTGATACACATCTTCCCTGTAGATGGGTTTGAAATGTCTGGCAAGTGAGACGAACCACCCACAGCTCCCTGACATTGATGTGCAGCAAAAGTTCTGCCTGGGATCAAGAGGCCTTGTGTCTTGAGTTCGTTCAGGTGCACCCCCCATTTCATCACCGCCGCATCTGTGACTAGAGACAGCGACGGCTGAAGTATGGAGAAGGGCACTCCCACACACATTGCTTGCGGG